AAAGTTGAACTCTGTGATGTCTGATCTCTGATGACCCAGTGTGTGTCCACAGTGAGCAGAGGAGCAGAACCACAGTGGAGGAACAGGAAGCTCTGCCACAGCTGAGCAGCACACCTCACATCATCGGAGGAGGTTTCAGGATCTACAGTCCAGTCAGACCCTGATGGCCATCAGACCTGCTATAGATCACCTTACAACAAAACTGATTATGAGACATCAGGGTTCCGTTTCATGAAGCAGGTTTAACAATTACAGACTCAGATCCTCAACTCTAAATTGATCTGGCCTAAAGTCAGGAACTCTGAGTTTTCGGTTTCACAACGGCTGTTATGTATTAGTTAAATCAACTCTAAGTAGAACCACTCAGAGTTGAGCACGTGCGTAACAAGTATGAAAAGCCATTATGACCATGGTCACCATGATGACAGAAGTGCCCATTTCCCCCCACTGGAACTAGAGATTTTAATGAAGAAATTAAAAAATAAATGAAAAATGTGTTTAGAGGACAGAGAAATGGCGCTACAGCTGTAAAGGAGAGGAAGATGGTGAGCGAGAAGATTGTTGCTTGAGTTGATGAGTAAGTTTATAGAAAGTGGGCTATGGCAGGCCGTTAAAACCAAGGGATTGGCTGTAAGGAGAGCGGAGACAGAGGACGCTCTGAGTTTACTGAAAGTAACCAGGTTAGCTCTGGGGAGCACGTTACTATGGCAACAGAAACAGATTGAGGAAACTCTTTGTGAAACAGAAAAGTTTCCCACATTTCAGGTTTAGAAAACTGAGTTTTAGACAACCTGCTTTTTGAAACGGACCCCAGTCCATCTCAGACAGGAGTCGTCTTTTCATTGTAGATCAGCCTGTTTTATAGTATTTAATGTAAAAAATATTTCATCATCTGTGTGTAGAGATGATTATTAATAAATACCTGATTATATGAACCCGTTAGTCCATCACCCAGGGCTGGATGGATGGATGGATGGATGGATGGATGGATGGATGGATGGCGTTATATTTTGTAGATTATAATCAGTTTCAAAGATGCCAGATAGAGTATGGCTAAATCCCTACTCTGCTTCTCGAACATGTAATGCTTTAATTTGCCACTAGATGTCAGCAAAGTAAAACATACTCAGGTACACAGAGGTTTACTTTAATCCTCTGATATTATTTCATCAGAGTAAAAATGACAGACTTCTTGAACTATCAATGTTCAACTTGAAATGTTAGGATTTTTCCTACAGTGACTCCATCATTAGAAAAAGTGTTATTTGGTTTTTATCTGTTTCCATGTGGGCTGTTCGCCACTAGGGTTCAAAGATTATGGGGGATTTTTGATGATTACAAAAGCATTTAAACACCAGAAAATGGTTCAAAGGTCACCTAAACTCTGTCTGCAGCTAACGCCTCACACGAGCTGCCAAATGAACAAAAGCAGTCACAGACAAAATAAAAAACAAATAATTGTGGAGGATATAAAGCCGTCAAAGTACTCCTAGTTGGTTCCTCTGAAGCCAAAGGTAGACGTTTCACTGTTTCCAGGTCCTGGATGAAATACTTTCAGGAGCTCAGGAGGAACATGAGGATGAAGATATATCTGAAGAGGAAGATGTGGAGAAATACAACTCAAATGATGCACCATGAAGAAGAGGAATGCCTTTAAGCTGACAGAGAGACATTTTTTTCAAAGAACTGAAAAATTGCACATTTATCTAATTCACTACTAATCCAAACTGTTCAGGAAACTGCATTTTGTTCTGATCCACCTGAGGCTGCAGATGGGTCAGTCAGAGGAGAGAGAGCATGTTCGGCCCCTGGAAGTTGAACAGTTTATTCTGCACATGCCCGCTGGCAGGGGGGAACAAACGAGTCAACTGTCCCAGGCCCAGGTCAGAGGGGGGCATAAAAATGGACTCTGACCATTAAAAATACAGGCAGAAGTAATTTTTTTTTATATTTATGCTAAAACTATTTAATATTAAAGAAAAAATATATTCGTAACTTATATATATATATATATATATATATACACACTACCGTTCAAAAGTTTGGGGTCACATTAAAATGTCCTTATTTTTGAAGGAAAAGCGCTGTACTTTTCAATGAAGATAACTTTAAACTAGTCTTAACTTTAAAGAAATACACTCTATACATTGCTAATGTGGTAAATGACTATTCTAGCTGCAAATGTCTGGTTTTTGGTGCAATATCTACATAGGTGTATAGAGGCCCATTTCCAGCAACTATCACTCCAGTGTTCTAATGGTACAATGTGTTTGCTCATTGGCTCAGAAGGCTAATTGATGATTAGAAAACCCTTGTGCAATCATGTTCACACATCTGAAATCAGTTTAGCTCGTTACAGAAGCTACAAAACTGACCTTCCTTTGAGCAGATTGAGTTTCTGGAGCATCACATTTGTGGGGTCAATTAAACTCAAAATGGCCAGCTGTTATTCAGCTGGCTTTTGACTGGGAAGGGCCATTTTGAATGGCTGCTACTGTACGCTCATAGAAAAACACTTGATCCACCGAGCTACAATTGGTTGAAAAGACTTTGAAAAGACGACATGATTTACATCTAAACAATGTCTACATTTGGTTAAAAAGCAAAAGGCTAAACGATTGTTGAATAGATGTTGAAAACTGGGTTTTTTAAACGTCTATTATTGGACTAAACTGGGACAAAATCAGACCGACCGAACACAGCCCAATTTTCAACAATATTTTTTTGACTATGATGGATCGACCTGATTTGCCCCGCTGCATGAAGCTGTAATAATCTTGGCACTGGGACTGGCTTATCTGTCCACTCTGCACTGCTGCTCAGCTCCAACTCACCTGCAATCAGCTCTAAACTGGTTTCACCTGTTTTCCACCTGCTTATAAGCCCCGTTCAGATCAGCTACCAGTGCCAGATCGTCTCTAACCTACCGGTGACATCCTTCCAGCCATTGTGTTTGCAAACCTGTCTGTTGCCCGACCTGATCTGCTTTCTGTTACCGGGCCTGCCTGTCCCTGTTCTGCGTCTGTCTGCCTGCCTGGAAACATGATTGGATCTGTCTCTGGATTTTGGACCTGTTTATCCTGGATTGCCTGTCTGTAAGCCTGACCTCTGCCTGTGAGTACTGGATTTTGCCTAACCTTTGTGGATCTCTGAAACCTAATAGTTTACTAACCTGGATTGGACCTGGACCTACCCTCTTGGATATCCCTGTCTGTACTGCTGTTGGATCTGTCATGCTGTTGCTGAACCTGGACCCCTCTGGAAAGCCTCCACTGGAATCATCCATCGACCTGACAGCTGCCTGCAAATGGACCTACCTCCTAACTCAGTTCTCTGCCTCAAATCAGCTCTTCATGCTTAGGATCTCCTGAGTCCGGTTAGCGACCCAGCTCCTTAGTTTTCATACCTGCCTGGCTGCCTCCTCTGGTCTCTAACCTGTGTCTCTGCCTCCAGGGGTTCCCTTTCGAGCGCAGCAGCTTGTCCTGCACATTAAACGGTTCCCATGATCATTCCTTTAATAAAGCTTGTAATAGTCACTGATCTGTCTTGGTTGAATTATGGGTCAGATTCCCGTACATTACAGAAACATGTTAGAAAGAATTTCTGCTGCCTCAGTCAGAGGTAACATGAACCAGTCAGACTGCATGTGTAAGGCATTATATTCAGGCATTATAACAGAACTGGACTTCATCAATCCTGGATCACATCTTTGACTTAATCTTTCATGAACCATGATGCAAGAGTTTACAGTAGGAAAACTGTTTGCATCATGAAAAACTTGACTCTACAGGCCAGAGCTCCAGGGCCAGCTGAGCCATAGAGACTGCTTGTGGGACATGCCTTGAAACCCTATTGAAGGAAACCTCCAGGGGGCGTTGGGAAAAAGATGTCCAAACCACCTCAGCTGAAGGAGCAGTGGCTCTACTCCCTGATGATTTCAGCCAGCCGTATATCAAGGATCTCTTTCTTTTGGTCTTGCCCAGATTTCATGACAATAGGTGAAGGTAGAAATGTAGGAAAATGGTACACTGTTCATCCCTTCCCACCGAGCCAAAAATTGGCTGAAAAGACATAGTAAAGATGACACGATTTACGTCAAATGACGTCTACATTTGGTTGAAAAATAAAAGTTAGAAAGTTGTAATTTTTAGGTAGTTACAAAGACATTAAAAACTGGGTTTAGACTAAAGTGGGCTAAAATCAGACCAAACGCAGCCGAATTTTCAGCAATTATTTTTGGACTAAATCAAGACTTTGATGGACCAACCAGATTTAGCCGGGGGGAAAAAAACACGTCTAAACCAGACGTCATTGAGACTTAAATCTTGTCAGTCTGTCTAAAACGCATTTCCTACTGGTCAAAAATTCTGTTTAAACCCAGGAACAATGGGCTTTTAGTGGCAGTGGGAACAGCTCACTGAGGATTGTCTACCTGGGTCAAACAACTCAGCAAGTGACCCGCCGCTCTGATCGACATGCTGCTGATTTATTTGATCCCATTGAACTGAATAGAAAGATAGCTAAGGAGGCGAGCACGTAGGACGGCCTTACGTAAACATATCCCCAGAATGATTGACAGTTAGGAGGACCACTGATTGAGATGATCCACCCGGAAATAAAAGATCCTCCACTGAAACCTTTAACATGTAAAATTATGGCTGCGAATGAGCAGATTCAGGTCTAAGGGGAACCTTTCTGTCTCCCAGCAATCTTTGTATCTGAGGAGGAGCTCCTCACTCTAAACACACACATCTTCAGAGAATATGCTGCCAACATCATCTCCCCCCTTCTTCCTTCATGAATCTTAGACTGAATCAGGAACAAAGGGAGGAAGGGGGAGAGAAAGTGGGGAGGGAGGGAGGGATGGGGGACTGATGTCGTCAGAGGCCCAGCAGTGCGCAGGCTCTGTTGGAGCGGGGCTGGCTGCCTATTGACTGGAAAACAACGGGCTGTGGGAGGACGGATCAGGGCGGTTGTGGACTAACGGGTTAGAGAAGGAGCACAGATCCAGCCTCTCCACGCCGCTGTCTTTCCATCAGATTTTCTCCTTCTCTTTCTTTCACACTGGAATGAATGTGACGGCTGCCTCTCATCACTGGCTGTTACTGCGAGGAGAAGAAGGGATCCTCCTGGTCTGAGAGGACCTCTCTCAAACACAAAGCCAGGATAACTAGCGGCTCACCAGAGTTCAGGTAATCAGAGTTTTTCCTGAACCTCATCCATCACCCTGCTGTGCCTTCATCCAGCCCTGACCTCTGTGTGCATCCTTTTTGTCGTCATCATTGTGTTGTAACCATGGTTGCCTTCCTCTCTCCTCACTGCTCCTTTTTCCCTCCCCCACTGCCTCCTTCTCTCCTGTGAGCTAGACATGCTCCTGCTTCTGTCTAATTTCTGTCTCTGCTTTGAGAATGAGAGCCAACCGGGTCGATTCTTTAGACAGGAGCTCTGAGCATTAAAAGGCCGCTGCTTTAGGAAATTAAAGCAAATTTTTTAAAGGTCAAATTAAAAATTCAAATTAAAAACAAAAATTCCTTCAGCCTTTCAGCTCCCAATTAAAGAAAATGTTAAAATCTTGCAAGTTTAAGCAATGAAGTTGAATACAGATAGAAATCAGAGGATGGAAATAGAAAAGGTTTCTTTGTGAAAACAGGGAAAGAAGAAGCTGCTGCAGAGCAAATGGTTCGAAGCCTAAAGCTGTCGATCATACCTGCAGGCTGAGACACACCTGAGATCGTCACTCTTTACCCAAAACCCCCAGAAATCCTCCTAAATATGTTGCATCATGGTGGAGGAACATCATGGATGCTCAGCCTGACTGAAGAGGAAATAAAGAAATGACAGCAAAACCACAGAGAAAGGCCTTTAGGATTCTTTCTTTCATATCAACTATGCAACATGAATGAAAAAGCATTAGAATCTCGTAGAACCAGTTTATTGTTCAGAAACAGAAACTAAAACCTGAACTTCATTGTTTATCCTTATCTGAACAAATTTCCCAAACTGGTTGAACCAGCAGTCAGATTTCTTTATACTTCATCTGCGGTTAAACTATTTGGTTTGAGGTAAAAATTAGGAAATAAACAATTCTTAGCCAAACGTGAACGATTTTTTGACTATCGGACACAAACAAACCAGCAGCGCAGCGTGAAGCAGCCAGGGAGACGCTGTAAGACGATATCTGGCTGCTGGCGGAGCAGCACTTTGCTGAGTGGGGTGATGAGGAAGAGGAGGCTTGCACCAGCTTGTTTTTAAATGGACTGCCCTGCGCTCAGCCACTTAGGCCAGGCCACGGTCCAGGCCTTTCTACTGACACTGCGTCAAACAAACCGGCCAAGCCTCACAGTCTGAGTCTCTTCTAATGGACTTAAAAAAGATTTAAATACGTCTTCTTTAAATGGTTTTATCTCTAATAATGATCTAACATCTATGCCACGCTTTGGCTGAAACTGAGGAGGAACACTGGATCCTGAATAATGCACGGTTTGCCATTTGACTATAATTTATGGTGGACCTTTGATAAAATCGTATAATTTATCGCCCCAGTATCTTTGACACCTTATCAGTTAATTCCCAGTTGGAGGACTTAATTAGCTGTATTTTGCCAGTAAAGCCAACTGGTTCATGTCCCTTTGGGACCTGGTCCCCTTCTGGCACACCTACATCCATCTTTCTTTGTCCGGGCATCATGGTGCCAGCCCAGATGAGGCAAGGCAGACATGATTTAGGAGACAGAGAATAAATCCTCAGGGAGTCATGGATAACCTTCAAGCTCTGCTTGATCTTCTCTTTTGTCCCGAAGGCTCCTTAAGGTCTCCAATTGAACCCCAGTCGGCCTCAGTAGATGGCCGCTCACACTGAGCCTGGTTCTGCTGGAGGTTTCTTCCTGTTCAAAGGGAGTTTTTCCTCTCCACTGTCGCTACAAGCATGCTATCAGCTGGTTTTCCTTAGATAGAAAACTTTGAATCAATCTGACTGGATGATCTGGTGAACTGGAAAGTGACCTGAGATGACATGATGTGAATTGGAGCCATAGAACTAAACTGAATTGAATTAAATCAGGGACTGGAACCAAATAGGAGCTAATTTCTGACAATTCTGAGCAATAAACTTTATTTTACGTCTGTTTGTTGTTAGGAAAACCCACCAACCTACCGGGGGACACCATGGAAGCCCCTCTTGTGTGTTTGGATGAAGAGTTTGAAGACCTCCGGCCCTGCCGGTTGGAAGAGCAGGACCATTTAGGTCTGAACCACTCCTCCTACTCCACCACCACCGTCCCGCTGGCGTCCATCACCCGCGAGGACTTTTCTGAGCTGGAGAACTTCTCTGAGATGATGAGCTTCAAGTCAATGGAGGACCTGGTCAATGAGTTTGATGAGAAACTCAACGTCTGCTTCCACAACTACAACACAAAAACCGAAGGCTTGGCGCCGATTCGTAACCAGTCCCACAACCAGGAGGATGAGGAACGGCTGCAGGATGAAGAGTAAGTTACTGACACTAAACGTCCAGCCAGTGGTCCACCTCTGATGTTTCTCTAAGTTTTTGCTGGTGAATTTTAAAATCTGCTGTCAGTGATGAAGGTTTGCTTGAAGGAAAGTTGAAAAAACAAAATAAAGGAAAAAATACAACATAAATGAAATAAAAGGGGCTGTTAGAGCTCCTATATCTATCCAGATAAATTATCTACCATAAATGTCTTAACTCATAATGGATGGAAAATGACAGAATGACAACATTATAAAAACAGACCACATCTTTATAAAAATATGAATATAAAAATATACATTTATTATATATTATATATATTTTATAACTACGCTGGACCAGCTCTACAACCTCAGCAGGGTCCTGGAGGGTGCATGAGAGTTCGCCCAACCAGTCTACATGTGCTTTGTGGACTTGGAGAAGGCGTTCGACCGTCTCCCTCGGGGGGCCCTGTGGGGGGTTCTCCGGGAGTACGGGGTGCCGGGCCCTTTGATACGGGCTGTCAGGTCCCTGTATGACCGATGTCAGAGTCTGGTCCGCATTGCCGGCAGTAAGTCGGGCTCGTTTCCAGTGAGAGTTGGACTCCGCCAGGGCTGACCTTTGTCACCGATTCTGTTCATTACCTTCACCCACAGAATTTCTAGGCGCAGCCAAGGTGTTGAGGGGATCCGTTTTGGTGGCCTTAGGATTGCGTCTCTGCTTTTTGCAGATGATGTGGTCCTGTTGGCTTCATCAGGTCGTGATCTGCAGCTCTCGCTGGATCGGTTTGCAGCCAAGTGTGAAGCGGCCGGGATGAGGATCAGTGCCTCCAATCCGAGGCCATGGTCTTGAGCCGGAAAAGGGTAGAGTGCCTTCTCTGGGTCGGGGGGGTGTCCTGCCCCAAGTGGAGGAGTTTAAGTATCTCGGGATCTTGTTCACGAATGAGGGACGAAGGGAGCGGGAGATCGACAGGCGGATTGGCGCAGCGTCTGCCGTGAAGCGGGCACTGTACCGGTCCGTCGTGGTGAAGAGAGAGCTGAGTCAAAAAGCGAAGCTCTCGATGCTTATCTGTTCTCCATTTTTCATTTGGATGAAATAATAGCTGCATGAATCATGACAGCAGACAAGATAGAGGAGAGCAGGAGGCGGGGTTACCAATCTACTCGCTCTGGAGAGCAGAGTTCGCTGCTTTTAGATGTTGTCTCCAAAGTCTCCAGTAGCAGAAAAAAGTCTCTAGATTTGGCGCTAGGAGCTTTTTAGAAATCAAAGTGCTAGAGGGGTCTGAAAAGTGGCTAAATATAGCGACTAAAGCGCTAAGTTGGCAACACTGCATGATGGCATTTTAGCCAAAGGATTTTTATCAAAAACATAATTAATGTGCACAAACAAGGAATAGTTGCATTAACCATACATGTAAACAGAGTTTTATGAGGCCCTAGGCAACCACCTGGTATTGCCTAATGGTAAATCCCCCCCTGGCCTTAGGAACTGATCATCGCATCACCTGCTCTGGATGCTCTAGATCTATGCCAACAGGACCAACAGCTGGGGTGGGGTGGAGAGGTGGGGTGGATGGGGGTTTTGGATGAATGATGGTGGAGGGGAGGATGTGGATGGAGGATGGATGGATTGATGGAAATGATAAAGGATGGAGGAAGGGGGAAAGGGGAAAATGGTGGTGGATGGTGGAGAATGGTGTTGGATAGGGGATGGATGGGATGGTGGAAAGGGGTAAAGGGGATGGTTTGGAATGGAGGGAAAGGAAGGAAGGAAGGTGGGGGGGGGGGGGAAGGGTGGAAAGGAAATGGAAGGGATGGATGGTGGAGAGGAGGGAGGAGGAGGTTTGGGAGGTGGTGGGAGGATGGTGTGGGTGGAGGGAATGGATTGAGGGAGATATGGAGGGATAGATTATGGAGAAAATGGAGGATGGATTTGGGTGGAGGAGGGGTGGAGGGGGAATGGAGGATGGAGAATGGTGGGGGGGAGGATGGAAAAAGTGGAAAAGGAGGGGATGGATTTTGGGGAATAAAAATATAGGGAAAAAGATGGAAAAAGGGAGGATGGAATGGAAAAGGATGAAGGAAATGGTAGGAGGGGGTATAAAATTATGGAGGATATGGAAAGGATGATATAAAATAGGAGGAAATGGGATGGAGAGGGATTAGGATATAATGGGGAAATGGAAAGGTTTTGGTGGGAAAAATATGGGGGAAAGGATGATGGATAAAAATTTTGGGGGATGTGAAATATGGGAATTTTTATGGAAGGGGGAAAGGGGGAAATAAAGGATATGGAAAATGGATAAAGGAGGATGGTTTTGGGATGGAAAGGGAATATAGGGGGGGATAGGGATGGGGGAGGGGAAAAGGGAGGAGAAAAGGGGAAAGAGGAGGGGAAAAGGTGGGTGGAGGATGGATAAAGGATAAGGATAAAGGGGGGGGGAAAGGATTTTAATTTATGGATGGGGTGGTGGATTTGGATAAGGAATGGATGGAATGGATAAGGGTTTTGGAAAAGGAAATAGGAAGATGGAGAGGAGGAGGGGAGGGAGGAGGAGGAGGTGGAAGGATGGATGGGGGGATGGATGATGGATGGATGGGGGAAAGGGGAAGGAGGAGGAGGATGGAGGGATGGATGGAGGGAAGATGGATGGATGGATGGAGGGAGGATGATGGGAAGGAGGAAGGATGGGGGGAGGAGAGGATGGGGGGAAAAGGATGGGGGAGGAGGAGGGGAAAGGAAAAAAGGGGATGGGGATGGAGGAGGGAGGGGGGGGTTGGATGGATGGATGAGGAGGGAGGATGGATGGGAGGAAAGGAAGGATGGAGGGAGGTGGAGGGATGGATGAGGATGGGGGATGGAGATGGATGGAGGATGGAGGAGGGATGGGGAGGAGGATGGAGGAAAGGGGGAGGGAAAAGGGGGGGAGGATGGAGGGGAAAGGGATGGAGGAGGAAATGATGGAAGGAGGAGGAGGAGGAGGATGGTGGAGGAAAGGATGGAGGAGGATGGATGGAAGGGTTTGGAGGGAGGAGGGATGAGGAGGGTTTGGATGGGGAGGAGGATGGATGGAGGATGGAGGGAATGGATGGATGGGGGAAGGATGGATGGGGGGATAAGGATGGATGGTGGAAAAAGGGGGAATGGATGGTGGGGAGGATGGAGGGATAAAAGGAGGGATGGATGGATAATGGATGAGGATGATGGATGGAAGGGGGGGGATGGATGGATGGAGGGTGGAGGATGAATGGATGGATGATGATGATGGGGATGGTGGATGGATAAAAGGAGGGGAGGGAAAATTTGGATGGAGGGGAAAAATGGGGGATGGATGGATGGGGGGATGGATGGAAGGAAAATGGGGAAGGATGGAGGAAAGGATGGAGGAGGATGGATGGGGGAATGGAAGGAAGGATGGGAGGAAAGGGATGGGAGGAAGGGATGGATGGGGATGGATGAGGGATAAAATGATGAAGGATGGAGGGAAATTGGGGTTTGGAGGGAATGGTGGATGAAAATGGAGGATGAGGGTTGAAGGAAAGGAAAAGATGGAAGAGGGAGGGGGATGAAGGGATGGGGGTGGAGGGGAAAGGGGATGGTGGTGGAGGGATGGAGGGGGTGGAGGAAGATTGGTTGGAGGGTGGGGGATTTTTGGGTGATGGAGGGGGGGGATGGATGGAAAGGGGGGGAGGGAAGGGGGTTAAGGGATGGGGATGGAGTTGGGTGAGGGAAGGGGAAAGGTGTTTTTGGAATGGTTGGGGAAAGGAAGGGGGTTGGGTTGGTTGGAAAATGGGGATGGATGAAGGGGGGGGAAATGGGGAGGAGGATTAATTTTGGGGAAAGGGATTGGAGGGTTTTGGGGGGGTGGATGGATGGTTGGTGGTGGGGAAATTGATTTATGGGGTAGGTGAATTGGTTAAGGGGGATTATAGGAAATTGGGGATGGTTGTTTGGGGTGGAGGGTTGTTTGGGGGTGGAAAAGGTGGGGGGGTTGGGGGGGGTGGGGGGTGGGGATGGTTGGATGGGGGGAATGGTTGGTGGGGTGGTGGGTGGGGGGGGTGGGTTGTGGAGGGGTGGGTTTTGGGGGGATTGGTGGTTGATGGTTTGGTGGTTTATAGGGGGGTTTGGGGGTTTGGTGGGGGGGAGGTTTTTTATGGATTGATGGAATGGAGGGTTTTAAGGGGGAAGGAATGGGGAATGTGGGGATTGGTTGGGGGGAAGGTGGTGGAGGGTGGTTGGATTAAAGGATGGGGATGGATGGAGGGATTATTGGGGGGAAATTTGGGGTTTGGGGGGTGGTGGGGGGGGGGGGAAGGGGGGGGGGAGGGGGGTTTTGGGGGGGAGGGGGGGGTTTTGGGGGGTGGTGGTTGGGGGTTTTGGGGTTGGGGAGGTGGTTGGAGGGGGTGGGGGGGTTTTGGTGGGGGGGTGGTTTGGGGGTGGGGGAATGGTTGGTGGGGGGTGGATGGTGGGTTGGGGGGTGGTGGGTTGGGGGGGTGGGGGTGGGGGTTTTGGTGGGGGGTTTGGAGGGGGATGGAAGGTAGGGTAAGGAGGGAAAGGAAATGGAAGGATGGATGGATGGTGGAATGGTTTAAGGGAAGGGGTGGTTTTTGAAGGTTGGGGGGAGGTTGGTGGATAGGTGGGGAGTTGGTGGATTTTTTTGTTGGTGTGAGGGGGGGGGTTTGGGGGGGGGGATGGTTTGGGAGGGGGGTTTTTGGATGGAAGGATGGTTGAGGGAATGGTGGGGTGGAAGGATGGGGGGGATTGGATAATGGTGGTGGTGGAGGAGGGTGGGGGAATGGAGGATGGAGGATTAAATGGAGGGAATGGATGGGATGGATGGATGGATGGTGGATGGGATGGAAGGAGGAGGGATGGGGGAATGGTTGGATGGAGGGAAAGGATGGTGGATGATGTTGATGGGGAGGGATGGATGGGGGTGGAGGAAAGGGGTGGGGGTTAAGGAGGAAGGATGGGGTTGTTATTAGGTGGGTAAAGGGGGGGTGAAGGGGGGGGATGTTA